CCCCCCCCCCCGCCCGCCCCTAACCGGATGATTCGATGGTCCTTGTCGACTTCGACGGATGAACACAACAACAACAAATTGTGTAATGAGAAGTGACGCGTTAGTTTTTGTTGTTGATAGAGCAGAGAGATGGCCGTTGTGCATTCTTCAGAATATAGCTTCCTGCGTGATGTTTCTATGTGTGAGGATTTCAACTAGATATTTTGTGAAGTTGAACAGTTACAAGCTGTACAGGGAAGTACACTGATTGTCATATTGAAGAGGCATATTAAATGAATATATTGTATCGAACCGTGGAGTGTTTGTTGATTTGAAGACTATTACTTTTGGTTGTGCTGTTCTGTGACCAAGCGGTAGACTTGGCTGGTTGAATAGACACTCATTGCCATGAGTGGATGATTTGCAACACAACAGATACAACGTCTCGACAAACGCTCTACACTACTGGTAAAACAAAATAATGCGTTCAAAAAGAAATTTGAAGCAAAATTTTAACGTAAAAACTGAAAAAAAGATTCTACCAAATTTCCGTTCGATAAAATTACCGTCAATCAATTTACCGTCAACGAAATTTCTTTCGATCAAATTTCCGGATACGAGGACAATATTCTCATCAGCAAAACATATCACAGCGAAAACAACACGTCTCGCTGTCGCTCGCCCTAACTCACACACTAACTAATAAAGATCAATACTCGGAGGTCGAGATTCTACCTCTGGCTGTGAAACATAGCCTATATATCAGGGATTCCGGCCATGCAACTCGGCCTTGAGTAACGGGGTTTAGGGCAGGTTTCTTACACTCATGAGAGGACAGTTTTGCGTCACAGCCCCCCTTGCCCATTGAGTCTTACGGTCGGGACGTTTGGGTTGGAACGGCTTTGCTTATACTCTCCGGAAATGACGTTGCGTTGCCACCCCCACCGCCCAGGGAGCCGTACGTTCCTTGGTGTGGCACGGTTTTCCTTCCACTCCGGGAGTAGTCACAAGCTTAACTTTCTCCCACCGTTCCTAGGAGTTTTGCGGACATGGGTCTAAACGGTTTTACTTCCTCTCCGGGGGAGGCGTTGCGTTACCTCAACCCACCGTTCGGGGAGTTGTTCGGGCTGGACGTAGCGGGGACGAAACAGTCGCCTAGGGGCGGCTTTCTCAGGGCCGCGTCTTTTTAATCAGTGACAAGGGTTTGGGCGGCCACCCACTGCCTCATACCCATCAACGGCAACAAGTAATCATGCTAGCGCTTAAACTTCCGTTGCGTTGGAAGTTTTGCCTGGGATCTTTTAGCTTCAGAAGGAGAATTCCCCCTTACTAGTCGGGCACGCCACGAAGAGGCAAGATCCCGTGTAACACCACCGAGAGGCTTGTGGTGCTGGGCAAGAATTTTCCAGAGGTCCACCCTTGCCCGCCCGTCACACACAAACTCAGAGGTCCTAGTTCATTCTATCTCCGTGAACATAATACTAATACTGCCCCGCTCAAAAGATTCCCTCACCTTTTATAAACCCAACATTTCATGCCCTCGTAACTCAAACTTGCACTCGCCCGTGATATGAAAAACTTTCACCCACCCTCACTAACCCCATTCGTCATCAATTCAAAAACACACAGACAACGTGATGAGTTCATAACCGTGACAGTGGTCACGGGGGCTAGTGCCGACCATCCCAGCTAACACATATCTCACCCCAAAGAAGCCAGGTCGCTTAATGAGAGCCAAACGCTCAATAAACACTGACTTCACCTCGGACAACTCCATGAGCAGTTACATCCGGTACAATAGTAAATGCTTCACTGTGCCTCGGTGTAACACAGTTCAATATAAACAATCATTCTTCCCACAAACGATAATTGCTTGGAACCAACTGGACAATGCAGCCGTATACTCGACATCAATCGAGAGTTTCAAGACAGCCGTTGCACCCGCTAGGAGCCGCTCAGACAGCCGCATCGCTTCCCCAACCGTTGCACATATGACAGCAGGGTTTCTTTCAGCAATATCTCCGAGGGATGGGGCGGAAAGCCAAGTGCCCCCCCCCCCAGCAAAAATATGTCCAACAATAAATCAACTGGCACCGCCCCCCCCCCTCCCCCGAAAATTCAGAAGTGCCCCCATCCCCGGGGGGAAATTTCTGAAATAATCACTGTATGCCAGTACATGGATGCAGCAACGTACCCTACCAGAACCAGATCTTTAAAATGCAACCCGCAAAAATAATTATAGGGCCTATAAACTGCAAAATATTTAAAGGCAACAAAAATAGACGACGGAAATTACTTTCATTTATTACTGCTTTTAGTTTTAGTGCTTTTGAACGATAGATTGTGAAATATAGTGCTATCAAAATTCATAATTCTCCGTGTAACAATCGTTACTAACGCTTTCACTAAATAAGCTTCTCCAATCACTGCGCTAAACTAGGTCTAAATGAGATTCTTAAAAACACAGCAAACGCGTTTGGTGCGTAATGTTTGCTATTGTTTTACGGACATTAAGTAATACGTGGGGGGAGGGGTGACATTAGAACAGCGGTTCTCAACCTGTGGGTCCCGATCCCTTTGAGGGTCAAACGACCCTTTCCCAGGGGTCGCCGAAGACCATCGGCAAACACGTATACTGTACAGTTATGAAGCAGCAACGAAAATAATTTTGTAGCTGGGGGTCGCCAAAACATGAGGAACTGTATTAAAGGGTCGCGGCAGTAGAAAGGTTGAGAACCACTGCATTAGAATATTAATATAGCTCAGAGGCGGTGGCGTACCAAGGGAGGGGTAGCACAAATTGGGAATATTATAAAAATGCTTTACTTGAATGCATGTTTTGTCAAGTAGGCCTACATTTATCAGATGGGGAGTTCACGCATTGCGGTCACCATTTATTTGCGGTTTATAGCTGGTAACTTTTTAATAGTAATTCAAGAGCTTCGTTATATTATACATGGGACTAGAGCCAAATTTTACGATGTCACAATGTTGATAATATGCAACCGATTAAAAGTATATTTGTTTGCTTCATTTGTGGGTTACAAAACATGAACGATAGTCCTACTAACAGATAGCGGAAGACGCTTAGAAGTAGAAGCATTTGTTTTGGAGATTAAAAAGATTTGCCTCTCTCGCGAGAAATTGCCAACATCATGAGAAAAACTATGGCAGATATGGGAAATCTTTGGGAAGGTAAATAATAAATAGTTATAGAAATAAACCTTATGAGGAATTCAAAAGTAAAATTCAAGTATGATAGGGAACATAGTTTTGGAGAAATATCAAGGTAAATTTTAAGGCCGACTGCCACTATTTTATCGAATTTCACGAATGTATCCCTAAATCGATCCCTATGCCTAACCTGAACCCTAAATCGATCCCTATGCCGATGCCTAACCTGAACCCTAAGTCGATCCCTATGCTTAACCTGAACCCTAAATCGATCCATATGCCTGACCTGAACCCTAAATCGATCCCTATGCCTAACCTGAACCTTAAATAGATCCCTCAAGCAACTATAATAAACACACAAAAGTGTCAAAAGACGCAGTGGCAGTCGTCCTTAATCAGAGCACAGATTAGTGCACAACAATAGGAACACACAGTCGGTATAAAATAAAATTGACCCTTTTTAGTTAGGATTAGTCTACTAATCTAATGACTAATGATTAGTATTAGATTATTAGTGATTATATAGTTAATATGGTAATTGGTAATCTACCACTTGAGCATCGGCCAAGAAAAAATCCAGCTGTTCCGGTTGGAAGGGCTATTTAAACAATTATTCTTATACTATTTTAATGACATTGGTTGTACGTATTCATTCCCCTAATAATAGTACTAATACAAATACACAAGAGCATCTTTTTTTAATAGAAAAACTATTTAAAAAATTTGAAATAGAAGAATTTAAACAATTTAATGTTTGAAAATGGAATTATGCATAGTTCTCCCCCAAGGCGACAATGAAGTTTTTAAAAATATAAGTTCCACGAAATCGGTTGTGGTACATGAATTCACTTAAATATGAAGGGGAAAGATCACGGCTTGTGCCAAACTGTCTTTTCAGTTTACGCTTTTTGAGCATCCACGTTTTCCACATTCTGTGTGTGGACATCCGTGTCATCTGGATCCAAAAAAAATAATTTGGTTAATGCACCATCTTAGATGCTGAATAAGGGGTCTGACAAATTCAGCAGTAGTGTGGACAGCCACCATTCTTCTTCATTTCGTATCTGATCTGTATCAAACATTTCGGACATCGGCACTTTTCTAGTCTTTTTTATTTTCTTCCTGGCATATCGGTAGCTTGGCAGTAATAATTATTTAAATGTATTAGTATTGTGCTATATAAATATATAGCCTATACGGAAGCAAAAATATTGACAGACTCCAATGTAAGAATAGTTGTTTAAATAGCCCTTCCAAACGGAACAACTGGATTTTTTCTTGGCCGACGCTCAAGTGGTAGATTACCGTTAATATGTAGTGATAGTAAAGCATTAAATTAATTCCCATTACTTCATTCAATTATTTAATTCATATTCGTTGAGTGACAGAAACTGACTTAATGAGAAAAATATTGAGAAAGTTGTTAGAAAGATGCAGAGAAATCTGTAAAGATCATAACTAAAAATAGGCCTATTTACTATTACTATTGCCATTGCCCTACGCCTACAGCCTACATTAATCATTAATGATAATATTGCTAATAATAAGTAATAATAGGTTATTAATAATAATAATAATAAAGTTTATTTGAAAAACACGCTTCATCCCCAAAAGCTCGAAGCGCGATACAAAGTCAACCATATAAAAAAGAGAAATTTAAAAAATCTAAAATTTACCATATTTAAAAAACAGACACAACAATATAAAACTACATACGAGCATACCATGTCAAAGTCTTTCATCCCATTTCAACCATAAGCAACACAAGCCAATATACATTAACTGAAAAAAAGATAGTAGATAGCATCACCCCAGAAGGTGTTTGGGAAATAGATGCGTTTTTAAATCGGTTTTAAAGGACTCCAGTGTCTGGCTGTTTCTGAGAGCGACTGGAAGGGCATTCCAAATTGTTGGGCCGGCAAATACAAAAGTGCGCTTTCCGTAAGTCTCAAGGCAAACACACTGTATCGATATTTTGCCACTATCGGATGAGCGGAGCTGTTTAGTGGGTACATAAGGCGTCATGAGTGCTTTGAGATAAGACGGTGCCAGGTCATGTAAGCAGCGGTAGCACAAAGTTGCAATTTTGTACTATATGCGAGCGCGGACCGGCAGCCAGTGCAGCTCTCTCAGAAGGGTTTTAGCATGGTCGAATTTGCATTTGCGAAGAACAATGCAAGCCGCATTATTCTGTGCTCTTTGAATTTTACCAAGGAGCGTAGCTGGGAGACTCACCATGAGAGCATTGCAGTAGTCCATGCGTGATAACACAAATGCGGACATCAGCCTCTTTGATGCATCTGACGTTAAGAAAGGTCTGATATGACTAATCCTGCGTAGCTCTAGAAAAATCACCTTGCAAAGCATGTTAATGTGATTTTCCATAGTTAGTGTTCTGTCTAAATAGACACCCAGGTCTTGCACTGTTTGAGCAAACTCAATCTGCATACCTGAGAGAGTAAGTGGTGTGTTTTTTTTACAGATTTTTGTTTCTGAGCAGTGGCAATGGGGATCAGCTCAGTCTTTTCATCATTCAATTTGAGCTTGTTTATGGTCATCCAGTGCTTAACTGACTCCACTGTCTTCTGTGTCGTACTAAGAAGTTGAGGGAACTGAGAGGGGATCACAGATTGATGAAGTTGTGTAACGTTCACGAACATGTGATACAGCATGTCAAATGGCTTAATCACTGCACCCAGTGGCTGAACGTACATAGTGAAAGTGAAAAGCACCGGGCCTAGGACTGAGCCCTGTGGTACTCCGAATTCAATTATAGATGGCTTCGAGGTCAAGCCGTTTGAAATAACTGACTGGACCCGATTTGTCATATACGAGTGAAACCATCTCAGGACGGTATCTGTGAGACCAAACGTATTTGGCACTTCGTATATATATCTAGGAATATCCACAGAAACGCAGAAAACCGGGTATCATGATTTTCATTTTGTTATCAAAATGACTAGACCTCCACTTTTTAAATTACTAAAGAGTGTCCTATTTAACAATTTTTTTGCCAACAATATCCCAGTATGTAGCCTACTAGTACTATGTATGTACATTCTATTTTTGCCCCCATTTTAGAGCATACTAGGTACTACGATAAAGCAAGGACACTCCTAGAAAATTTGAATCGGAAATGGGCGTCTGTGCAATGGAATCCTAGTTTTTTATTTTTGTATGTTAGTGTAATTTTAATAATGGTTCCGATAGGGTCAAAACCCAGGTTAGGGATAAGTTTAGGGTTCAGGTTAGGTATAAGGATGGATTTAGGGTTCTACGATAAAGCAAGGACACTCCTAGAAAATTTGTATCGGAAATGGGCGTCTGTGCAATGGAATCCTAGTTTTTAATTTTTGGATGTTAGTGTAATTTTAATAATGGTTCCGATAGGGTCAAAACCCAGGTTAGGGATAAGTTTAGGGTTCAGGTTAGGTATAGGGATGGATTTAGGGTTCAGGTTAGGTTTAGGGATAAATTTAGAACATAAGTTCGCGGGTCGCAGCAAACGCGGTGCTATCTCTTCACATTTACCAAAATTTTTATCGAAATATTAAAAGTAGGTCTTTCATACTAATTAGGTCAGCAAAATATATTGAAGTATACCTGTGCAAAAGTTCATTGCGCTAGCTCATGAAAAATTTTTGCAATTCTCCCCAACGTAGACCTCATTATGCAAAGGTCACACCACGCCCCTTTTAAATAGCGGAAGATGCCAATACTTAGCTTAGGAGTGACCCAATTCCGCTGTTCGTGTCACGAACTATATAACTCTCGTTTTTTACTCTCTGTATTCAAAAATAATTTTAATAATGTTATACAATTATAGATAAATTGTAGCTTATCTAACTATGCATTATGTATATCAGTAAAAAAAAATATATCTAAATTTAAGACATTTATTTTTTTTTTTTAAACGGTAAATGGTAAAAATGTTGCAAGCCCTGACGGTCCATTTAAAAGCAGGCTGCGGATTGGTCAACAAGGCTCTAGTCAGCTTTAGTATTTTTATATTTTAAATAGGGGGGGGGGGGGGTCCTGACCCTTCCCAGAAATTATATAGTTTTTTTTTGTGTTGTAATTGGGGGAACGGGTCCTGTTAAATTGCGACCTTATTATGCCAGTACCTCTTTTTCCACATATAAAAAAAACAGCACTTTTAACCATGCCCGCGTCTTTTTTCCAGTGTTCATCTTGGGGTATCACATCAACAAGGATGAGTTTCTTATTTATTTTGGACCTTCTAAGTTGAATTTTAAATAAAATGTGATGGAAAATTTCGTTATAATTTATTTCATATTAAATGTATTGATAGTCAGATTATGTTTTTGACACTAATAATACTCAGTGGAGAACAGAAAAGTTATCATTCTCTTTGTTCGGGTTAAACTCTTGGTCCTGTCACCCTGAGTCCAGTGTTGGGATTCCTGAAAGTGATATCACTGCGCTTAAGGTGAGACGACTCTTTGCAAAACCCATTCCAACTTCAAATTAGTCAAACAATAAGTAATCACTGATTAAATTTCTTTGTCGTGTATTTTCCTTGGGTTAAAGCAGAGGTCCCTAACTCAGATTATCCGGGGGCTGCAGGAGGTAGAGTCTGAGTGAGGCTTGGCTGCATCAAGTAATCCTCAAAAGAGGGATTACAAATTCAATAAAATAAACTGTTACAACCTGCTCAACCTTCATTAATAACAAATAAAACCAAGAACTTGACTTCACTTACTTCCTCCTACTCCTTTTTGTCTTAGTCCTGGCAGTGCTTCTTCTTACACAGCTGAGCAACATTTGGCTTGAATGAGAAAGCAACTGAGACCCTCAGTATAGCTTGAAGATGCTCATCAGTAAGTTAGGCCCTGAACTTTGACTTATTAAAGTTCATAATGGAAAAGAGCTTTTCACAGAGAGAGGTACTCCCAAAAAGGCACATGATCGCTTGAACAACCTAGAAATCTCAGGAAAGGTGAAGGGCAACTCTATCATAAATTGTCCAAGCTTGTCTGTTTTTCCATTCACCTCCCTGAACTTAGCCTTGAGTTCAGAATTGCACTGAAGATCAATCAGCTCCATTTGAAACTCAAAAAAAAGGGGTGTGGGGCACCTTCCACACTGAGGGAGAAAGGGTTAGCAACAATTTGAAAAGAGGCTCTGTGTGTTTTTGAAGTCTGCAAACCTGTGATAAATTCTTCCTGTAGCTTTGCAATGATCGGGCATCAGTATACTTAGTACTGAATAATGTGCTCGAGTCCATGAGTACTGGTACTTACCATGTTGGGAAATGGCAGAGGTTTCTCTGAGAAAGCTGGGCTTTCCATAACAAGTTTAGTGCAGAATGCCCTGACATGGTCATAGGCAACACTGACAAGCTGCCCCATGCCTTGTAACTTTTTGTTTAGTACATTCAGCTCCTGTGTAATTTCAACAAGAAAAGCAAAGTCCATGAGCCAGTTGGGATCACTTAATACAAGAACAACCACCCCATCCTTCACCATGAAGGCTTTGATTTCTGCTCTCAACTTAAAAAACCTTTTCAAGACGTTTCCCCTCCTGAGCCAATGTACCTCAGTGAAGTAGATAACATCCTGATATGCTGCCTCTATTTCCTCTAAAAATGTGCGGAACAGCCATAGCTTCAAGCCCCTAGATCTAATATTGTTGATGCATTTTACAACATCAGACATGACATTGTCAAACTTCAAGCATTTGCTGCAAAGGGCTGCCTCTTCCACACCCTCCACTTCTAGTTTTCTTTGCAATTTGTGCCACAAGCCCATTTACTTTTCCTGTCATTGAAGACGCTCCGTTGATTGTTATTCCTGCAAAATTTTTCTATGGTAAACTAGCATCCACAATGGCATCACACACCTGGCAGAATATCTCCTGAGTAGTGGTCTGGTCACGCATTGGAATCACTTCAAGCAACTCCTCCATCACTTTAAAATTATCATCAACACCACTGACATATATTGCGAGCTGTGCAGTGTCAGTAACATCTGTGCACTCATCAAGAGCGACTGAGTTTGCATGGAAATATTTACCTTTCTCACACAGTTGATCATAAATGTTACCTGACAGCTCAGAAATGCGCACTGCCACTGTGTTGGCTGAAAGGCTGATGTTGCTAAACAGACCCTTATTTTTATGGACAGACTATACTTGCAGCTTGTAACCTGCAATTTTTAATGAGCTCGCCTCCTTTAAATGATTTTCCTGCTGTAGCAATCATGTAACTAGCTTCAACTGCTGCATCCCTTTCTTTGTTTGTTTTCTTGAAAAAATCTTGCTGCCTCAATAAACATGATTTAAGCTTATTGACCCAGGCCTCTCTCTCATCCCCCTGGTATTTTGCATACTCCTCAGCATGTCTGGTTAAATAATGACATCTGGTTAAATAATGACGTCTGATGTTGTACTCATTGAGCACCGCAACTTTCTCAGTACATATAAAGCACGTCAGAATGCCCCTGTGCTCAACAAAACTGCAGTCTGTCTCCCACTTCTCATGAAATTTTCTGTGCTCATCGCCAACTTTTCTCTTCACAGCAGGTTTTGAGAAAGACATGACTGGGGTCAGGTGACGCAAAAATTTATTTGCACTGTGTGATAAAATATATTTTCCCTCCACTTGGTAATACTCCTGAATCACATAACATGATACTTTACTCTTAGGGAGAATTAGAAACCAACATAATAAATGAGGCTGCAATAGTCAGAGATTGAATTCCCAAATTATGATGTAATTTCTGACGAATGAAATATATATTGTTCGATAATTTAAAATAATAATGTAAAATGTGACTCTCCACTATGGTTTCAGTCATATGTCACAGAAGCTAGTTTTCCGCTAGCATTGCAAAAAGACAGTTGGTAACAATGATCTTTTGGCTGATATTGAATCAACAAACATTTTTCTACAGTTTTAGATACATCAAATAAATCAAAATTAATTATGGCTAAAACAATAACTAATCACTGCACAAACTTATGCTAGTTTGTTACAAAAAGTAGGCCAACAAGACATTAAAACTTGAATATTGAGCATCACATCACCCCTATCATTCGTAACGGCATTATATCTTTAGTAAGAAAATAACATTTCCATTGGCCTAAAGTAAAAATATTCATCTAAATAAATGCTATGAAAATAAAGAGCTTCTGGTAAATAAAGACAAAAAAGCATAAAATAAAAATATGGCGATTCCCACTAGCGATTTTAAAACTAAAACATGTTCAAACAGAAGGCAGGAGCAGGCAATATTTATGAGTTATTGATGCGAAGGAAGATACTATTGTAATGAGAATGATTTTTTTACATCGTAGAAAGCACCTTTTTGACTAACCCTATTTTGAAAGTGTCCAAGCTGACAGGCTCGGAATTTCAGTCCCTTGTCACTCGTACATACTAGCGGCAAGTGTAATAGGGATTCTTTGATACTGTGTCAGATTGCTACGATTTACACAATTATGGTTGTGCATTATCCACTAAATCACTTTTTAAACTTATTATATATGTATATACAATATTCCAAGCATGTTTTTTCAAAACCGCACTGTGGCCATGTTTGTGTAATAAAATGCTATAAAATAAAAACGTTTAGTCCGATTTTAAAATGGGTTTTACCATTGTAATCAACGTCAAAATGTATACAAACATAATAAAAATCAGAATTAGACTAGTCGGTGAGATTTAACGGAAACCGCCAAGGAGGGTCACATTAGAGATATGAGAATGGGGAAAATGCATGAACACTAAACTTTGCTATCAGGTATCTAGCCGCAAAATATCATCTTGTGGCCTCAAATGGCCCACAGGTCGTGAGTTTGACACTGGTTTAAAGGGATTTTTAATTTGAAAGGTGTTTTAAAAAATCAGTCGATGGCTAAAAGTTTGTTTATTGTCTCTTTAGCCAGTATGTGGCCAAACTTTTTCTCCAGTCTCAGACCAAAAGCAATATTCAGACGTTAAAAGTAAGGTACAGTCAGATTTTAACATAGAGGTGTCAGTTTACAGGGGGGTTATACGGTGAAGTATTGACTGCTCATTGATGGTGTGATGTCAGCCATTCCCACCGCCACCTACCTAAACACACTCAGATAAATTTTTGTACCAGCAACAAAGTCCCAACTCATTCCAACTCGTGTCAGCCTCAGTTAGGGGGCACTCCAGAGCCGTCCAGTTGACTCTGGAGCATACCGACCACAAATTTCGGGAAAAGTCGTCAAACCAGTTTCCATCCCCAGGGTGGGTCTGATAATACAAAAATATGTAAAATTTCTGAACCGGTAAAATTTTCTGGAATCAGGTGCTGGAATTTGATCTATTAAATTCTCAGGTTGCCAAATTTGGTTGGGGTACTCCTTACAGTTGGAACGCGGCACATGCTTAAGTTAGTTAATGATCATATTAGTATTAGATTTCATTTGTGTTCAATTGTATGTGTTCACTTTTCTATGTGTTCACTCTTCCGTGGGTACACTTATCATGTGTTTGGATGTCTTGTGTTCAGTTGTCATCCAGACTTATGGAACCTTGACACCACATGGCATGAAAGTCGTGCTGTCATTCACATGTTGAGCCTTTGCCCCTCGATGTCACGACCAATGGCAGTGGACTTACTTCTCCTCTTTTCTTTCCATTTTTGCCAATATTTTATCTCTCACCTACTTATTTGCTGTCACAATTCTTATGCCTATGCTGCCCTCTCGGATACTACTTTTCAGCTAAGTGCTATTTTCAAATATAATTCTGTTTTTTCTGTTGTTTGTTGGCTGTTGAAGGCTTCCTGCTGACACTTTCGTTGTTTTGTTGCGTTCTTTTTTCTGGTTTTCAAATACTTTGTTTTACTCATTTCCTTTTTTGGCTTTTTTAGTAATCTGTTTGTTTTGGTGTTCACATCCATATTGCAATATATTTTGCCCGCTGTTGGCCTCTTTGTAATTCATTAACTATTTTTTGACAAAGATATTATAACAAATTTTAAAAATAACGCCCCAGGCGAGCACAACCTCTGCACAGCCATGCATGGATGACCCAAGTACAAGAGTTTTCAAGATGCATAGAAAATTGGAGACATAAATATTTGAATCTGTCACAACACACTGGTTTAGAAAGAACTATTTCATAACTGGATATCACTAAATAAATTAAAAACTAGCAGACACGCTGTATTTACATTACTCTCATTTGATTGAATAGTAGCATTTTATGATTTATCTATATGGTGCGGAGAATGTTAATTTTAATTTGCCACAACTGTGGCTATATTGTAAAAACCTTGCCTACCTTGGTCTAGGAATAATTATTCAATAATGATACATTTCACAATGTTAAGATGTCAAGTAAATTTACACTCAACACAATGTTCTGATCTAATAAGAAAAGCTACCGGTATGTTACATACTGTGCACAGGAAAGATGTTAATTTTTGTACACCAATAAAAACTTACCTAAACTAAACACTCATGACAGACGACCTAGCTGCGGCACAAAATCACTGTATTTTTTATTGGTATAGCTCACATAATGAAAAACACAAACATGGATCTACAGATCCATGCATTTCACATGGCCCGAAATGTGTTTCTTCCATGCTGCACAATCTGAGGAACACATCTTTCAAAAAACATTTCACAAATCCTTCATAATTACAGACATCTCACCACTTATGACATACAACATCAAATTACTACAATAAGGATAAATAAATATTATATTTTTTAAAAATCTAGATACATTCAATTGGACAACACAAATATAACTTATCTTTAAAGACAGAAAAGTTATCCTTATGTTTAATGGTTGCTGTATTTGAACAAAAAGACTATTTTACTTTTTAAATCCTTTTAATTATGAAATAAGTAATAGAAAAAATAGAAAATTTTAAACAGTCAACTCTGAAATAAAAAATGCTACCGGCATTCCATTTGCATCAAATTTGAGATTACCTAGTCAAACCAAATAGCTGGTGGTCTGGAGTTTAATTCCCACCAAAGCCAACATCCCTAAGCACCCCGGCTGGATGGGACTCGTTAGCCTTGGACGGCAACCCATCTAAGAGAAGGCAAACTCTGAATTTAAACCAGGAGCCAGAATGATCAATAAATTGATCGTGGGCCCTCAAAAGATAGAAGAGAAGAAGAAGACATTAATTTTAAACACTGACTTCACTTCCAAGAAATATGATTTAATTAATTGATCAGATTAGACTAATCATCATTAAGCCTACGCTGCCCCGAGACAAAATTGACTACATTATACTATCACCCTATGACAGTAGCCTAAGTTGCTCTTTACATCTTTTTAATTTCATACACAATAACATTAGGCCCAGTAAATTATGATTAAAATGATTCTTTTGTGTACTATGCCACTGTTTATCAACTATTCATCTTCTTCTTCTATATATTAAGGGCCCACTATCAATGTATTGATCATTCTGGTTCCTTTGTATGCAGAGGGATTAGCAATGTTTCTATGCCTGATATTGAAGAGAATATTTCACTGTTTGCAAGGGCTACTCAGCGAGGATATCATGCACTGGGGTTTGGAAGGTCTGAGGCAATAGTCGCAAATGTGTCAAGTGTTGTCGCCTCAAATGTTCCTTTTAAAGCTTGTTATAGTCCCTAATTTTCTTTGGCAAGAATGAGCAGCTCCTATACTGGCTTCTTGCTGGTATGAGCCAGAATTGCCTGTCATGGCCTCGTCGCTGTCTATTGGGGAGAAGGGCGAGTTTCTGTTTAAAGCTGGAGCAGTGGACCAGCCCATTTATTTATCTTGTACATCATGTAGAGCCTGGATAGTCGTTGTCGTTCCTCCAATGGTGACCAGCCTAGTGTTTCCAGCATGCTGCCAAGACTAGAGGTGTTTCTGTAGTGGTTCAGAACAAAGCAGGCTTACCGTCTTTGGACCCCTCCCACCTGTCGATGCTCTTCGGATTGAAGTGGTCCCAAACTGAAGATGCATAATCAAAAAGCGGCCGGGCAAAGGCTTTATGTGCTCTTTCTTTCACACTGGAAGTGCAGATCTTCAGATTTCGCCTTAAGAACCCTAGGTTCTTTTTTGCCTGGTTGCACACATTGTTAATATGCTCGTCCCAGCGGACCTCTCTTTGAATGGTAACACTAAGGTATCTTACGGAGGAAACTGGCTCAAGTATATGGCCATGCAGTTCGTAATGGTGGTGTAGAGGAGTACCACTTCTAGAGACTGACAGTGTCTGGCACTTGGCAGGATGAAATTTCATGTCCCAGCTCATCTCCCACTCAGCTAACCGATTGAGATCCTGTTGTAGCTGGTTTTGGTAAGAATTGTTGGAGATCATCCTATACACTGCTGTGTGGTCTTACTTCGGATGTCAGTTTCTCGTATAGGCCATTGATGTATGCTAGGAACAAACAGGTCTAGAACCGAGCCCTGGTGGACCCCTGATTTAACACCGTCAAAGGAGGAGCTTGTACCGCCCACCACGACTGCCTGGCATCAGTTGCTGAGGAAGCTAGAGATCCATGTATTGGTAGTGTCTTGTATCCTATATCTCAGAAGTTTGTGTAAAAGCAAACTATGATTTACACTGGCCAAATGCCTTTGAGAAGTCCATCACCAGTATGTTAGTTTGTTTGATGTTCTTCAGTTTGATCATCAAGTCTTCTACAAATTCAAGGAGCTGGGTCTCACATGATCTATTGACTCGGAAGCCATTCTGACAGTCATTGAGTATATTGTGGCTTTCAAGATACTTCATGACTGCGCTTATGATTATGTGCTCCAACAATTTGCATACTATGCTAGTGAGGAATACTGGATGGTAGTTGGCAGGGTCAGTCAATCAAATTATTATATCACATTAGTCACTCAATCTACCATGTTGCTTGTATTTATATCTAATGATTAATCAGATTAGCCCCTAAGCCTAAGCCAGTAAGGCTTTCAAAGGTTATACTTACATTTATTTTTACTGACAATATCTGTGTTCCTTGCCAATCTCATTCCCTATTTGGTGAGATGTCTTTTCACAGCATGGCCGTTTGTACCTTTTCTTTAGATTGTACAATATCAATTTTAATAAATAGGCCTAAGTTTGTAATCTTTATTCCAAACAGATTTACGACGCCAAGCACGCCAGTTGGAGAATGAAATTGACCTGAAATTGGTTTCTTTCAGTAAACTTGGTACCAATTATTCTGCTCATAGGGATTATGATAGGTAATTATTTCATTTTCTGATATATTATTTAAGTAAATGCAGATTGCAGCATAATAATTAATTTTTTTAATGTGATGAATGAAGACAAAATTAAAGGTTGGTAAAAATTAGTTTAAAAATTTTTATGAAAGGATATATTTTTCAATTATATTGGTTCATTAAATTTGTACAAAAGAAGATAAATATTAAATTAATAATCATCAAAGTCAAAGCTATTTTAAGAAATGCACTATAAATTTACTTTTTGTGTGTTTAGAGTTAGCAAATATAAATATGTTTTTGTTACATAGAATTTAACGTGTCTGTTCTGTTAGCATTTCATATATATCTTTGAAAATAAACACTTGGACTTAAATGTTTTGGTCAGTTTGTCTCTTTAGAGATGTCTTGGATCATTTTTGCTGTTATAATCTCTTAAAATATCATAAAATATATATTGAGTCAGTGTAAGTCTTTGGCTGTAAAAAAGATGGAGCTAAAACAAGATAGATTTTTTTAGTAAACTATATTTTTCTTTTTTAAATGGACAACCTCCCCTTCACGGGCGTCTGCAGGGGGGAGCAGTCCCTGCTTGCGCATGTGGCACACGACAGGCGTGCGCAAGGCCAACAAGCCACTGGTCGTAATCGAAAGGGTGCGAAGGGCCATCCTGAACAAGCCCTGGTGGTACTACAGCTGAATGTGTGTGAGATCAGGCAAAGACACACAAAGTAACCAAGCTACTTCACAAAAGTAGCATTATTCCAGGAAACCTTGCTGCATGGCAAGTCGTTTCACATTACTGGCTACTGGCTTTACCACTGCAAGTGCCAAGATGCTGTGCTTGTACCACAGCCGTAAGGAACGACCTCAGTGGAGGTCGAGAGGAAGAGTTATTCAAACATGGGTACCCTTAGGATTAGAGTAACCAAATTAGGCAAGACATTGTTTACAATACCGGGTACTCCTGCAACCCAATCACGCTCCCTACCAGGGGGAGACAGCTTCCATTAAGACAATCAATGCAGGAGATTTCAATGCCCAGTCGCCCATGTGGGGCTATCCAGAGCGAAATGCGTCAGGCAAACACGTGGAAGAGGTCTGCCTAGAGACGAATCTCATTAGGTTACTCATTGGGAGTGACGATCTTCCCATCCTATTGGAGATCGCTCTTGACATGACCAAAGCACGCTATGAAAAGCGACACTGGCTTTTCCGGAAAGCCAGATGGGGTGAGTAAAAAAAAACAGACAAAGACCAAGCTCAGTCTGTTAGATGCAGAGGCGAGCAACATCAATGCTGCCTTCGAGAGGTTTAATGGCACCATTTTGGGGGTCGCTCAAAAAACGATCCCCAGAACAAACGGGAAGAAAAAGTTCAGACCCTACTGAAAGACTTTGTTAAGCAAAGAGCAAAAGCCAGAAAACTAGCCACGAAGTGGAAAAACCTGCTGCCCGTGCAAGTTATAACTGGCTCGCGGCTGAAGTTCGGGTGGCAGTCCAAAAAAGCTAAAAAATTGAAATGGTTCATTGCCTGTGAAAAGCTTGACCTCAAGGACGTGTGGAACCTGTTAGAAAATCTTTCTGTCATGGGAAAGGCGAGAAATCCCCAACCATTACAGACCGAAAAAGACTCCGAGGCGAGCGACACAAAGAGAGCAAAGACACTCAAAAAGCACTTCACAGAAGTGAACAGGAAAGCCAGAGAGACGGACGAACACTGCACAATCCAAAGTCTTAGGACAAAGTGAGCTCGTGCCCAGCATTGTGGGTTCCACCAAGAGCTTTTCTTCTTCTTCTATATCTTAAGGGCCCACGATCAATTTATTGATCATTTACGATGGAAGAATTGCACAGTGAACTAGACAGATGTAGAAATGCGAAATCACCAGGTCCTGATAAGGTTCACAAAGAAATGTTAACCCACCTGCGTAAACAGGGGAGAGAACTATTGCTGGCTCTCATAAACCAAACCTGGACTACAGGCACCCTGCCGAAATTGTGGTAGCAGGCCATAGTCATCCCAATACCAAAGGAAGGGAAACCAGGCCATTTACCAACCAGCTACATGCCGATATCCCTCACATCATGTGAGGGTAAAGTAGCAGAACCAATGGTGAATGGAAGGCTCTACTGGTTTCCGGAGAAAACGAAGCGCCTACCTGCGATGCAAGGGGGTTTCCGTAAGGGTCGCCAACTCATGAATCAAGTGATCCGTCTAGTCATGTCCATGACAAATGAGCTCCAAATGAAAAATCTTACAGTAGCTGTGTTCTTTGACCTAAAACAGGCGTATGACCTAGTGTGGCACACTGGCCTCATGTACTCATGTATAAGTTCCAGTGCATGTCCACATGGGTAGAGAAATTCTTGAGAAACAGAACTATTGCTACAGGGGTGGGCAATAGCATATCTGATCAGCTTGTCCTAGAGGACGGACGATTTAGTCATTTGGAGCTCGGGAAAAGTTATCAAAACCTTGCAGATCCGGCTGCAACACGACCTAGACTGAATTGAAGCCTATGCCAAAAGGTAGAAGATGGTCGTGAACACTGACAAGGCGGTTTACTCAATATTTACGAACGGAATCACAAACATGAACTGTGTGCCAAAATTTCACAAAAATTGGGCTTGGTGAAGCTAACCTGCACCGAGTGGGGCGCGGATGCAACACTATTGAGATCACTCTACCTCAGTAGCGTAAGAGGGCAATGGACTACAGCCTTCCAGTCCAGGCCTTTGCGAGCCACACAGCTCTGGAGGGCCTGGACAGCATCCAAAACTGAGCTCTCAGGTTTGTATGCGGGGTGATATGCATGACACCCACGGCAGCGATAGAAGTCTTGGCGGATGTGGAACCACTCCAAATCAAACAGGAAAAGGCAGTCGTAATGACGTTGGAATGATACTGGCGAATGGACAGAAAGGAAGCCTGCTTTCAGCTACAGGAGAAATGGGTAAAGAAGTCCAGATTAAAGAGACCATCTTTTATGGACACAGTCCACAGTCTTGAGGGAGACTTGGCATTACCCGAAAGCAGAGAAAAGGTAAGGGAGTTCCCGGCACGGGGCCCCCACGAAAGCCTTACCCTACCTGATATACACCTTGCCATGACAAATACTAAAGCCACAAAAGCCACCCCTCAACCAGAACTATTAGAGGCAGTGCAAAGAACGATTAACGCTTACCCAGACAGCCTGGTCAAAGTCTTCACAGACGGCTCATGCTTCACAAGGGAAGAACGCAGTGGCTATGGTGCCAGAGCTATTAGAGATTGAATCTCGGCCCAAAAGAGTATTGTACATAATTAGTAAACTGTATAATTATGCAACCAATTATTTGAATATGACTTGTATAATCACTTGACCAGCTCTCATGCCCTGCCATGGAAGCTTTAGAAATTTGAATATTGACTGTTTAAGATCAGTTTAAACTATTATAATTTCTAAACACATTTTAAAAAAACATCAATAAAAGGCTATCTTAAATCAATATTATAATATTTACACATTTGAATTTGTATGTGGTAGAATGCTGCCCCACATTTGTAGTAAAATGGCGTTGCCAAATAAATAGTGCTTAACTACTAACGCTAGTTGTTTTTTTAAAATGTATTTTGGCTGCTAAGTTTTATATCTGAACACTGTACTATGCACACTAGATTCCATTTTGTTTCTCTGTGGCTCCCTCCAGCCTTCCTCTTTCTACTAACTCTGCTAACAGCAAGCCAGAGACCAGGTAAGCATCTCACTATCTCCCAAGTATTTGGTGCATTGCATGGGAAGTTAAACTAAAATTCATGATAGAAAATTTAATAAAGCAACAAATTCTCTATTATTAGTCCTTTTTTTTTATTTGTTTATACTCTCATGTTGCTTGCTTTATGGAAAACAATAATTGAACCCACACTTTTGCAACTATCATTTTGTATCTTTATATTTTGGTAGATATATTGTTTTATTTCATCACCACTCACTTCCCCAGAAAAGCATTTCACACACAATCATTTCAGAGTTTTTTTTGTGTGTCTTACGGTGCTCACTACCTGTACATCATAGGGAAATTATGGGTTAACCGTTCTTGAAACATTGCAACCAATGAGTGTTTTATTGATATCTGTCCACTTTTCCAAATTGCTTTAATTTGAATCTTACCCGGTACCTCATTTAATGTGATTTGATCTTCAATGAATATTTAAAATTTTATTAAATATACCGTATACAATTGATGAACCCAACATATTGTCCTAGTTTGTCTTAAATTTACTTGAACTTGAATTTAAAACATATGCTTTTAAATTAAGGAAAATGTAGAGAAAATCTCTCTAATATGTTATTAAATATTTCCTTGATTCTTTTTGGTAAAGTCTTGTTTCTGTAAAAGACATCCAGTCTGATATTAAACTGTGCAACGATGACATTAATAGTTAGATTCTGTCTTGTACGCCAACAATTTTTTTTAAAAAATGTATAATTATAAAGTAAAATGTATAAAGGTTGAAATGATAAAATGCTACATTTGCAAGTCACAGACTTGTTTGTGGATGTACCGGTATGCGGTTTTAAAACTAAGATACAATCCTTGAGTTAAAGGCTGTTGTTTGTTTGTTCAAAAGTGACACAGCTCCATTGCTAAATAAAGCAAGCAGTGAACATATGTTTGATACAATGGCTATGGAAATCTCACAGTTATTGGCTAAGGTGAGACTACTGCTGAATTTCAGCACTTAATACAGTGTTGAGTAAATGTTAAATTAATGCTGTATTTTACATATAGATGTGCTTATGGTAAATTTATGCTATATATTAAATATAAGTTGTGCTAGGTTAATGGTAAATTAATGATTTATATTATAAATAAAATGTGCTTGATTAATTGTTAATTTGTGCTGAGTATAATATATAAGGTGTTCCCATTAAATGGAGTGTTCTTGTTCAAGTAGGGTTAGTCATGCAAGTCACAGTTTTGATTATTCTGATATCCCCAGTTGACAGAAGTCAATGACAGAATGGTGGAGTACACACAGAATATATCTACGTCATCCCCCAGTGCTGCCCTACTTCACACCTTGCAACGGCATAGAGACATATTGCAGGACTATTCACATGAATTCCAGAAAACAAAAGCAAACATTACAGCCATGAGGGAGAGGGAAGACCTGCTGGGCTCAGTGCGTAGAGATATCAAGTATGTCCTTTCATTAGACCTTTGCTGTGCCCAAATTTTGTGACAATAGTTTAAATGTATTATTTTATAAGATATTGTGCTGCAGCAAAGAAGTAGAACTCTGAAAACATGTTTTATTTTACTTTTATGACAATTATAGAATTTTACATGACATGGTGAACAAGTCAAGACTGGTAATAACTTCTGTGGTAATTTATAGCCCCAGCTTAATTATAGATGGATAAATCAAGTCTCGACTAATTTTTTATTTTTTTACATTACATATATTGACCTTACATTTTTTTAAATCTACATTTTATTTTTACAGTGCATATAAGAACTCTTCTTCCTTGAACCGCAGATCGGACATGTATCTGAAAGAACATGAACACATACGCAAGTAGGTATTTTTAAAAAAGAACTGTTTTATTCCTCTCCAATAGTTAATGGCAAACATTTAATACTATTTAAATTAGTAATTTTCAATAAATGGGCTGTATAATTCTTTGGAACATGGACAGTATTTGAAAATAACTGTTATGACATTGAGACAAATAATAAATGTTTGGACATGACTTAATTTTAATTATAACAAATTCTCTTATTTTAACATATCTGCTCAAGAGATTCATGGCGCAAAACAAGTTCTAAAAAATATTTGACTTGTAATGCTGTCACTCCTATTTTTCAGTTCAGAGAGATTAGTTGATGAACAAATAAGGTTTGTATTTCTCTTTTTATAGGGTACTTGCTAGTTATGTTAAAATATTTTTTTAAAGATGTTAGCATAAAGTGAGCTCTCATTTTTTTCATAAGATTATGATTTATTATTCAACAACTTTTGCTAGAGACCATATTTTACTCATAGTTTCACATACAAAATGGATAATAATAAACAGGCAATGTATTTATTGACTTGTGTTAATCTACCAACAGCATAGCCATTGCCACAAAAGAGAATCTTCAGTCCCAGGGAAAGTTTTTGAACTCCATAAACCAAAAAGTTAATGCCTTAGCCAGTATCCTTTCTATGAAATCACAGATTGCTTTAAAAACTGTGTATGCTGCTTACTTTATAGACTTATGCAAACTCAGACATCGTATGCAGCTTAATGTATAGACTTATGCAAACTGAGACATCGTATGCAGCTTAATGTATAGACTTATGCAAACTGAGACATCGTATGCAGCTTAATGTATAGACTTATGCAAACTGAGACATCGTATGCAGCTTAATGTATAGACTTATGCAAACTGAGACATCGTATGCAGCTTAATGTATAGACTTATGCAAACTGAGACATCGTATGCAGCTTAATGTATAGACTTATGCAAACTGAGACATCGTATGCAGCTTAATGTATAGACTTATGCAAACTGAGACATCGTATGCAGCTTAATGTATAGACTTATGCAAACTGAGACATCGTATGCAGCTTAATGTATAGACTTATGCAAACTGAGACATCGTATGCAGCTTAATGTATAGACTTATGCAAACTCAGACGTCATATGCAGCTTAATTTAAAGACTTATGAAAACTCGGGCGTCGAATGCAGCTTCATTTATACTATTTTTAGACTTGAATTATTTAAAGACAATGTGACCCTAAACGCCACTAGAGAAACAGACTAATAAAAAAAATGGTTGCATGTTTTAAAATATTTCACAGCTCCTTTCAGTTCATTGTTTAAAATGTATCTGAATCCATGTGCTGTGGATGACATTATGAAATTAATCATGTGTTATTTTTCCATTCCTTTTAAATCTTACTTTGTAATGTTCACTGTAAATTAATGCTGTACCGTTAAAGAATTTTGTGTGTCAAAAAGGTCATCTAGAGCAGGGGTCTGCAACCTTTTTATATTAACGTAGCAAAGTCATACATCTAATTCATTCAGCGTGCCAGTAACTTACACGTATTACAAGTCTACCATTTTTAAGACAAATTTTTTAGTCATTTATTTATTTATTTTTTGGTCTTCCACGTGGCAATGAAAATTGCTATGCATGCCAAGTCTGCCACACATGCCGTAGGTTTACAGACCCTGATCTAGAGCTATTGTTAATTTTCCAATAATTTGTACCATGTGGTTGGAAACTGTATTTTGTTATTTCAACCTTAACTGTCCCACAGACAGGTTTCCTGTCATCAACAGCCTTGTTCAGAGAATAAACCTGAGAAAACGCAGGGATTCCATCATTCTGGGTCTTGTCATTGGTGTGTGTATCATCCTCATTATGCTCTATGCCTTCCACTGACACCAATGCTGTATTTATTATCTTTCATTGACTCCTTGGACACTAAGTTATAATCTTACTGCTGCCTTTATAATACGGAGCATCTTGTTCAAAGATCAAGAAGGCCATGCAGAAGTAGAATATGGCATGATTAAAGCTGTTTTTTTGATAAGGCGGACCATAGGCTTCTTAAGGGCAGGTTAAACACCAAAATTGAAATAAGGGAATTTTACCAATTTTTTTGTTTCAGTTATTAGTAATCATCTTAAAAATCAATAAAAAAAATATTTAAAAAATCTATGTTAGTAAAAAATAATGATTTTGATCAATTATAGGGCAAATCGTTGCGAAAATATTCGAAAATGAACAACAATTAAAAACATGATATCTACAGTACAGATAGTCCCAGAAACTTGAAACTTTTACATGTTATAGTACTCAATAGTGTTATAAATGGCGTCTAAAATAATGTTAGTAAAGTAAAAAATTGTAATTTACCTGAATTTATGAGTTATCCATGTTGTTCGATGAAAAAAATTGGGGGTACCAGTTATAATTTTCCTGAATATTTCATAAGTTTTTAACCCAATCTAAATATCCTTAGACAATTCAAACTACAGATATATAAGGAACATGCCTGCCAATTTATATTGAAATTCATTAATTAATGTAGAAGTTATAGTGTTTTATATAAATAAATTTTAAGGAAAATGACATTTTGAGAAAATGTAAAAAAACGCACAACTTTACATTTTTCAGGAATATTTTAAAAGTTTAAAAACCCCCTGCAGCATAAAACTCTTCCTGATCCAATTCCTTACTAGATAATATAGATTTTTTAGCTCTTTTAGCTTTACTTTTATCTAAATTTTGAATAAGCGAGGATGATACACGCTTATTATCAATTTTAGAAAATGCCTGAAAACAATATTTTCCAAAATTTAAACCTAAATTGGTAAAAATTTCCCCCCTTTTTAATTCACCATTGTTATAAACTATGGTGGCATCATCTACAGCTATTTGTAACCTCTTTCTCCCAACAAATGAGGTCTTCGGACAGCGATACCAAATTAAATTATGAAAAGCCTCATTTGCGTTCTGCGTCCCACCGTGAACGCATTTGGCTAAAAGAGCATCAGATGAAAGCTCTTCAAATATTTTCTTAATATTGTTCATCACGAAAGAAGGAAGAACATTCTTATTTGCAGTTACTAAATCTTTATCTTTGGGACACCAACTACCGCAATCGCTATGCTTACCCTCACGGTGGTGAAATATTGCCCAAATACTTTTTTTCATTTTACCCATGTCCCCTGAATTTTTTCTTATCGCTGCGCCATAATGTCCCTGAATGCGCTTTATAGCAGATTTAGTTAATCTGCCTGCCCCACCTATTCCTTTAAATTTTCTACCACCCTCCACATATGTTGTCCCTTTACATTCATTTACTTTATCCAGCAAGCGTTTCCCCATTCGCTTCTGGACATGACCGCAACATTCTAATTTTGAAATAGTTACTCCTCCATAAACTGGAGGATTAGCTTCAGCTACAGTTTTAAAACTCTTAGAATCCCCATCCCCTAAATAGCCAGTATAAGTGAGGTTATACTTTTCATTTGAACGGCGAAAGATTTTTAAAATGCCTTTTGGTTCCATCTGACCAGATGTACCTTGGTGATTTGACTCACATTCACCGGCATCAACATGGTTTTTAAACCACTCCTGATATTTAGAAATATCAGGAAATCTCTTCTTGGCCTTAGCACATTTATCGCAGTAGTTGCTGCTCACGTGAGTATCAACTACTTTAGAGGGCCCTTTATTAGCATTTACGGATAACACAGTGGCCACTCCGTTCTTAGAAACAAAGCCACGTCGCTGCCAGGTCCCGTCACAAGAAACCGTCACATTTGGACCCTGGGCTTCTTTTAATTCTGATGCAGCCTGAGACATGCACTGTTTAGCTACTTCATTAGTAGCAATATGAATCCTCTCCTTGTACTTAGTAACAATAGGAGCAGTTACAGGAGGAGGCATGTCCATGTTACCAAGAAATCTTTTGGTTTTTTCTTGATGACAGCCAATGCTGTTCATCGCTAACTGCAATCGCAGGTTGACATTCTCGGAGCATGTCTTAAATTCTATTTCATGCCTACATTTAATACATTTAAAATATAAAGTACTAATCACCCCATTTAGCACTTCTCTAACAATATAATTTGTCCCATCCATTGCAAACTGCTCACAGAATGAACATGAAAATGACTGGACTAATGAAATAATTAATCCCACATCCACTAAACGATAACCACTAATTTCAGGAAATTTAGGACTAGAAATATTTAAAGATTCATTAAGTTTTTGAAAAGAAGAAGATGTGGGTACCGAGTTTAAATTATTCTGTATTGAGTTTGGTAAATTATTATCAACTTCGTCTATAGCAATATCTTCGCTTCCTTGATTTTGAGGTTCACTGTCACTAAGACTAAGCTTATCTTTTTTAACGGTATATCTATTTCCATAAAATTTACGCTTTTTAGTACGATATTTATTCCCATTCTTTTTTACTTTAACTTTATCCATTGTAACTCTAAGTTTATTTAAATATTAATTAAATTAGAAGGTCCTTTTAAAACAGAAAATCCAACAGTGCCAACACAGTTTAGAATCAATTTCACCGCGTGTGACGCTAACAGGAAGAATTTTTTGTAAACAAATGACGAGGCCAAACAGGCTTTTAAGAGAAACGCTGTGATTGGCTGAAATCTCCTAAGGCAAGGGATATCCTGTTCTAGCAACCAATGAAATTTGATATAATATAATAGTTTTTTCTCTTTACATCAAAATGGCATATCGTTGAATTTCATTAATGTGGGTGAAAAAATTATTAAAATCGGATAATTGGAAGAAAAGTTATAGGCATTTAAAATTTTTTGCATAATTAATTAGGTAATTTTGTTTATACCTTGCCAACTTTAAAAAATAAAATAAAATACTTATATTGCTTTTATTTAAAAAATAAAAAGATAGTTATGTTTGGAAGTGAATATTCTTCATAGATAAATGGTTTTCTAAATTTACGTTTTTTAACAAAAAATTAAGATTGTATGGGTTTAACCTGCCCTTAAGGACATTGCTGATTTATTAATTTGTAATGTATTGAAAAGGTGATGGAAATATTGACTTGTGGATGGAGCAGATGTCTAAACTATGAGCTAGCAGGTGAAAATATTGATTTCTGCTTGAGGAAGATATAACTAAAATATGGGGTAGCAGGTGAAAGTATTGACTTCAGGATAAGGTAGATAACTAAAATATGGGGTAGCGGGTGAAAATATTACTTCAGATCAAGTAAATATGGGGTAGGAGGTGAATCAACATTTTGATTTATTAGTCAGGACAGCTATTACAGATAAAACTTTTAGAGCACCTTGGTCATTGTAAAAATATTGGACTGGCTGTGGCTCTCTGACTCAGTGCTTGAGCAAAATTGTAAATGTTGGGAAACTTTGTAACTTCGCGTAATAGCATTCCTCAAAGCGAGACAGCTCTTGAATATTCATCTGTGTAATTGATGCTTCACATAACAAAATGTGTTTAGTGTTGGTCATTATGTATGTGCCACTGTTTAATGACACCGTTAAAAACATTTAGGGACATTGTATTTGTATGTATTTATGACATTGTGACAACTTCTATTCCCCCTTGATCAAATAAATCAGTTGCAGTTTTTCAACAGGCATCATATGCTTTCCAGCACATTTGTATTTTCATTAACATATTCAAGGATTTCATTAATTTGTCTTCTAAGGCAGTGGTTCCCAAACGTTTAAGTTTGGCGGACTGGTGAAAAAGTTTTGAAATTTTACCAGGGACCGGTGCATGATTTATTTTTTTACTTTTATTATTTTTTTTTACTATAAATATTTATGTTATGGGGACCGGCAGCGTTAGGCATGCGGACCGGTGAAGGTCCATGGACCGCCATTTGGGGACCACTGTTCTAAGGTATTCATGGCATCAAAGTAAAGTTCTTTAAACTTCTTTATCACTTAAATTTATTTTCGTGTGTTATGATGTAAGTTTAACTGCCAAATACAAATTTTAAAATAATAAAATGGTTAATTAAAATTACACATTTCCTTTTTGGCAGTTTACTTAGTTAAAAGATTGCTTTTGTATTTTTAAAGAAGATGCTTTTCACCAATGTCTGAATATTTTGTACCACCATCTTCCTAGTCTGGTTCCAGCATTCATTCATTTATTTTAGAATTATTTTTAAAATTGTATCATTACAGTCCTGATTGAGTCTCTCATAAATGATAAATCGTATCGTAAAAATATTCTGCTTTTCTAAGCAAAATTTGCATCTGAAAACTACACACTTTTGTCAATAAATAACAGCAAATTGCTTAGGGACGTGTCAAATATTGGTGATGGGTTGTTGTTTTTAATACTTTGTGGCATGTCTTGACTGAAATCTCCAACTATTTAAGTATGTGTGCTTCTATTTTTCTTATGAATACGAAATGGCTGTGAGAAATTGTCATAAGTGCAAGTGAAAGCATCTAAAGTTATACAATGTGGATCAATGAACTTTTCACACATTTCTTATCATTTGTTTGTGGTCTCAAAGTGAGCTGTGTCATCAAAGTTATTTCTGATATTTAAATACAGGAGAACAAAATTTCACCTGTTTAACTCCCATTGGATAATGACTGTGTAGGGCAGTGCTGTCCAACCTTTTCGACTCTGAGGGCCAAATATTTTTTTTATGAAGCCGAGGGCCGCACTTTTTAAAAACTACTTTTAACAAAAATTACTCTATTTATTAACGCTCCTTACCTTATGCATAAAAATCCTATATCCATTAGCAGTGTCATCTCAACGAATAAAAACTGTAGCACATCTTATGTGATATTTGACTTGCTCTTGCAATCTTCTTAATTTGTGGCTGGTATTCACTTACTGCTGCCCTTAATAGGTTTCCCAAATGTTCGTCAATCAAAGCATTTTCGTTTTTTGGACTTGATGTTGTTCATTACTGAGAATTCAGCTTCACAGACATTGGTGCTTCCAAACATCATCATTATCTTTTTACAACATTTCAATAGTTGTGGAAATTTATCTGAAGAAACATAGGTCATCCAGAATTCAGTTGGCAACGCATTCTCATGTTTGTCATGAAGAGCCATGTTATACAGAAATTTGATGATTTCAAGGTGCACTGAACCTTCATCTGGGCTCCTAAAAATGACATATTTGTGGCTACAATGGAGATATCACATGTAAACGGGTTTTCAACAAAAAGTTAAACAGGAGTAAGACTGCGAATGTCTTTAAAACCATCCTTGAAATCTAAGTTCAACTTATTTAAAAATAGATTGAATCGCTCACTTGTGACCAGCTCTGTAAGTTGTTTTGCAATCTTTGCAAGGGCTGGGAAGTGAGTAATGAACAAATTCCAGCTTAGATTCAAAAATACTAATTTCTTTCATAAGCATTGGTTACATTTGATTTGAAAGCGCCCTTGCAATTTTAAATTTAATTTATTAAGGTGATCTGTGGTATCAGAAATGCTAGCCTTACAATCTCAGGCTTTTCCATATTGTTTAACAAATCACTCTTTGCTCTGGACCTTAGAAACAGTTTCACTTCTTGAATTAGATCCCAGAATCTTGTCAGCACTTTCCCTTTGCTCAGACAATGCATGTCAATATGAAGAACAAAGTCCCCCCAAATTCCTTTCATATTCTTTTAAAACAATCTTAAACTGTCGGTGATTTAATGAATGAAATTTCGAATGAAATTTACAATTTTCACTACACTATCCATAAGATTTGGCAGTGTATCATCTTTCAGCTTTGAGCAAATAGATTGCTGGTGAATTATACAATAATCCGCTTGAATGTCTGGAAAATCGTTGTCAGCCATCAGCAAACCAATCGGGCCAACTCTCTGTCCCACCATTGTAAGAACACCGTCTGTTGTAACCGAAATAAGCTTCTTCAAATCAATACTATTCTTTAATAGAAATTCTTTTAGTGCCTTATATACATCCTCCCCACAGGTTGTATTTTTCAATGGAAATAGTGCCAATAATTCTTCTTAAATCCATGTTACATGTCAAATCTAACCCAAACAATAAGTTGGACTGTGTCAGTGATATCACATGATTCATCCAATGCAAGACTAAAACCGGTAGAATTTTTCTAATCATGAAGCAACTGCTCAAATATTATTATATCCCCGGACATACCACACGTCTTGCTACAGTCTAGTGAGAAAGCTGAAGATTAGAACTTTTTTAAATTCTGCAAAAAATGACGGCACATTTTTAACAAATTTTCAAATTTTGAAAACAGTTTCAGAAAAAATATGTTTTTTTCTTCTTAGCTAATATCCAGCTAATATTGAAAAATGCTTCAGTAGCACAGTCGTCGGTTGTTGAGCTCTAATATCCAGCTAATATTGAAAAATGCTTCAGTAGCACAGTCGTCGGTTGTTGAGCTCTAATATCCAGCTAATATTGAAAAATGCTTCAGTAGCACCGTCGTCGGTTGAGCTCTAATATCCAGCTAATATTGAAAAATGCTTCAGTAGCACCGTCGTCGGTTGATGAGCTCTAATATCCAGCTAATATTGAAAAATGCTTCAGTAGCACCGTCGTCGGTTGTTGAGCTCTAAATCTGAGGAAAAACATTTGGCCTGCCATTGACATCCTTTTTTTTAAAGAAATAACTTTGTCATCTCTTAATTTTGTCATCTCTTAACTTTGTCATCTCTTAACTTTGTCATCTCTTAACTTTGTCATCTCTTAACTTTGTCATCTCTTAACTTTGTCATCTCTTAACTTTGTCATCTCTTAACTTTGTCATCTCTTAACTTTGTCATCTCTTAACTTTGTCATCTCTTAACTTTGTCATCTCTTAACTTTGTCATCTCTTAACTTTGTCATCTCTTAACTTTGTCATCTCTTAACTTTGTCATCTCTTAACTTTGTCATCTCTTAACTTTGTTCCATTTGGTGGATACTCTTTCTCAAAATCTGCATGCATTGACTTGTCGTGTCTCTGCAGATTGGCCTTTTTCATAACACCTTTAGTGCCCAGATCTCATCCTTGTCTTTTTTATTATCACGCCATAAAGCTTGATGTTTTAACAAGGTTGCTCACAAATCTTAGTTAATCTAAACTAGTCTGGTTGGTTTGCATGGACATTTTATGATGACCAGCTAGCTATGCATCAAGTTACCTAATTTTATTATTATACCCCTACACCACTACAAATACACACACTTTTTTATAGTGGGAGGACACAGCAGAAAGTGGAAGAAGTTAGTATCCAATTTCATGTCACCCCATTGTTCATCTGCTGCTGTGCTTAACATAAATTACTGTTACCTGTCAAGCATCTCCCTCCTTTTGCCACGCCCATTTTAAAAAAAAAAAAAAAAAAAATTTTATTTTTTTTTTTTTTTTTTTCATCTAAATTTAAGATGTTTATTTACAAATGGTAAAAATGTCTGGAGCCCTGGCGAGCCAATTTGAAACCAGTCCCCAGGCAGCGGTTTGGACAGCACTGGGAACCATTTTAATGACAACGGATGAGTGAATGAAGAGACTTCAATAAGAGATTCTGTGAAAAATTGAGTGTTTTTTAAACTCTTTTCCCCATCGTTAGCCGTTACTGTCAGCTATCATTGGGTGCATTTGGAAGGAGTCACGATTTATGGGCTTTGCCAAATAAATTCTTATTTTTTCCCTTTTGCATGTATTTCTATTTTTTATGGCAATTAAATTTTATTAAAAAAATTTCAACAAAATTAAGAGTTAGAGAAGTTTGTTGGCATTGTTTATTCAATGAATGAATTTGAAAGATAAATACCAGTATTTCATAGGGAAGTGTGAAATTAATGAAAATAGCACATAATATAAGGGTGAAATTTTAAGTTCCTTTAGTTTTCATTTCCTGTTTCTTAATATCAAAATCAAGACTTTGTGGCTTTTCATTTAGTTTTCAGGTTTTTTTACCGTTTCTGTTATGTCAGTATTATTAATTTTTCTTGCTCCGAAATTTAAATCAGTCAAAATGTAGAAAAACTCAGGCAGAGATTTGATATCCAGTTTATGTTGTAGTAAAGATAATCTTGTTGACATGTCGTTGTATATGAGCTTGGCAGTGAACAATTTTTTTTAGTAAAGTAATTTAACAATTTTGGCAACAATTTCATGGTGATGTACTCACCCAATGGTATATAGACACAAATTTGGTGATGTACTCAACCAATGGTATATAGACACAAATTGAACTGTGATTATTGTAAATAATTGTTGAGAGGGACATTTTTCAATGGTATATTCATGAATTCATCATTTTCATCTCACTCTCATTGTTATTTGGATTTTGTATTTTCCACACCCAGAGCCTCGGTTTTAAAATTGTTTGTCCATGTCATTAAACAAGTTTTACTGCATCTTGTGTCATTCTTTCTTTATAATTTTGTAACATTTTTATATAGCATTTCACCATTAAAATGGAAGTTGGGGTACAGTTCTTACAGGTGTTTAAATTATCAGTTAACCAACTTCATCATAACAGTGGTAATCCTATCTTAATAATTGATGTATACACAGAATTTTCATTCTAACACTGAATGACATTGAAATAATGTGAAATTTTAAAGAATTCAGCCTGAGAATGAAAGCTTATGTTTAACACTGCCCGCTAATTGTTCAAACCAACAATTCCCACGCATTTACGTGTTAGTAATATTGGTCATGTGATTTAAAGGCTGTAAGGACAATAGAAAAATAACTGGCAGGTCAATTTATTAATCTTCTTACAAAAAATTCAATTATATCTGTTTCTGGTGAGACAATTTTTCATTATAGCACCTAACATTACTAACAATCTTAAGTGGATGGAATTATAAACACTTACAAAAATAATTTCCATTCCATTATTTATTAAATATGTTAAAAGTTCACTTTACCTTAAAACATTCATTGTGTCTAGAGTTTCACATGGCTCGTCAAGTAAATAAGATGCTGTGGCAAACACCCAGCTCTCTAAATCTGTAAAGTTTGTAAGCTGAATTTCTGCTGTCTGGTGGAATTTTATTTTTATTTGTCTATGTATCAACCTTGTTGAGACTATATTCAGTTTGAGTACTCTTGCCTTTTTTTTTCAATTTCAGATTTTTAAAAAATCTTAAATCCTTTATCATGAACAGAGGGCAAACAGCAAATTTTAATATGTGACCTATTTTGGGGTGAAAGTACAATCAAATTAAGATGAGTGGATGGCACTTGGAATTTATATTTGAGATTTAGAACAGAGAATTCATTTACAGCTAAAAGACTTGTTTACATTACAGTACATCTTGCATTATTGCTGTTATTCGTCGGGGGGGAGAGGGGGTATGATGATGACCCCCTCCTAAATTCTTAAAATAATAATTATGTATTATTGCACCATGCTTTCTAATGAGCACATCTTGTATTATGTTGAATATCAGTGGTTACTTGAAGATATCTTTTAAACATTCTACAAGGCTCAACATCGATTTTTTTAAAAATAACCCCAAGTACAAAAGTAATATTAAATTGTTCTTTACAATTTGTTATATGGCTTTGATGGGAACAGTATTAGTAGTATTACAGCCGTTGAATAACCAGTGGATTTGGTGGGGACAATACAAGAGCCAGTGAATAACAAGTGGCTTTGTGAAAACTGGAATAGAGCCAGTAAATAACTAGTGGCTGTGCGAAAACTGGAATAGAGCCAGTAAATAACTAGTGGCTTTGTGAAAACTGGAATAGAGCCAGTAAATAACTAGTGGCTTTGTGAAAACTGGAATAGAGCCAGTAAATAACTAGTGGCTTTGTGAAAACTGGAACAGAGCCAGTAAATAACCAGTGACTTTGTGAAAACTGGAACAGAGCCAGTAAATAACTAGTGGCTTTGTGAAATCTGGAATAGAGCCAGTGAATAACTAGTGGCTTTGGTGAGAACAGTACAAGAACCAGTGAATATCTAGTGGATTTGGTGGGAACAGTACAAGAGCTAGTGAATAACTAGTGGCTTTGTGAAAGCTGGAATAGAGCTAGTGAATAAACAAATAAAACTCATACATTAGCTGCCAAAAACTATCTTTTGAAATGATGATGTAAGATCAAACAATCCCTGTGTCCGTTTTTGCCCCTGAATATATATATATAAATATATATATAAAGTTTCTGTCTTTACAAAATAAATTTGTTGCGAATATATTATTAATGAGACATTTTTTTGGATTTATTGGAATTTTGAGTTTGTAAATACTTAGGCCATTATTTTTTTCTTGGGCACATTTTTATGACATTGCTTTGTGTTGTGCAGATTTTCATGGCATTCTTTTGTTTTGTTTTTAAATAACATGTTGCTATTTTATGACCTAAAGTTGTTTTATTATTTTGCACAATGTGGAAAAAAACGCCAAAAACAAAAATCAATTTTTATTTGTTTTTTTTCCACAATATATTTGGATTAAATTTAAATCTTACCTAATGTTTACACATTTCATGCATCCAATCTGAAAACAGCTAATGTAAATTTATATCCACTGTCATGGATCCCCTTCATTCATCAAATCGGTTGAGAGAGTACTTGGTTATATCAGACTGTTGGTATGATTCCTCCCAATTCTGCCCATCATACTTCTTAGTGTTGACAGATAAAATAGTCCCGGGGTCAAGGCAGTGGGGCATAACACCTGAAAAAGAAAAAAAACAAGACAGTTTCATTTGCTGATTATTAAGATACCAGTATATCTAAAAATGAAACCAATGTCATTTACAACAACGATAGTGTTAAAAGTCCAAAACAAATTTATTCAACTTGAAATGAAATGAATTAATTACCAATGCCATCTTGGTTAGATCTTGGTGTATAAAAACTCTGCACACCACATGTTTTACAAAAGGTATGCTTGGCTTGCTTGGTATTAAAAGTGTAGGTTGTTATGTTGTCTGATCCCTGTCAACAAATTTATTATAAAAGACAAAACCATTTACTTAATGTCATGTATTTTAAAACACTGATATTAAAATATAGCTTTTAGTCTCTGGATCTGCTATTGATGAAGAAGCACAAAACCATTTACTCAATGTCATGTGTTTCTTCATCAATGGCAGATCCAGAAAAAAAAATGTTTACATACCAGGTGAAAGTAAAAACAATTATATTTCTATGTACTAAAAGATATGTTTTACAACAAAAAAAGATTAAGGTGGAGCACAATCTCAGTGCTAAATTTTCTATAGTTATTGCCAGTTAAATGTATGTTTCTCTTATGAGGTCCAGATTCTCAATTTTTATTCAGCATGCATACACCACAAATGCTGCTATTGAACATCAAAATCAATGATTACTCACTACTTTTTTCGGCATAGCTTACTAAAGCTAAGTTTAAAATAATTAAAACCCACTTGAAGGAGTTGAAAATTTGCTTTAGGCACAATAAAATGAAAGTTCTGTTTCTTGATACAGATGCTGCAACTGTGAATAAAATGTTTACAAAATAAGCAACATCAATCTTTGTGGACTTAGAGCTGAAATTTATGTGTGATATCTGTTGTGTGTGGTGTATGTTTTATCTGTTTTTATTCCAATTTGCTTATTAACTTAAGCAAAAAGATTGGAATTAATGGAAGTAAGATATCTTTTTAAGTATTAGCCAAAATAGTATTTTCTTGATAAAGAACAAACATTACTTTAAATGTATTGCAGTAACAGCGCATGAACACACAATAAAAAATAAAGTAAATTAATACCATTTAAATATTCCAATGAAAATTTGAACCATACTTGCATTCAAAAACATCCAAATGCTGTGGAGCAAGGACTTTGAACCTTATGGTCCCACAGTGACATCCCCCATGATGCTCTATAAGTTCTAAAAAAATTCAATTAAAAAAATACATGTAGGCTACTTTATTCATTTAAAAATCAAAAAATAGTCAATGTATTTTTAAAAATCTCTAAAAGAGTAAGTTCTTGTACAGAATTAATATATTTTTCTTAGATGCATTTTCAACATTGGATCTCCTTAACAAACTCAATTTGAACGATGAAAAGACCGAGCTGATCCCCATTGCTACTGCTCAAAAGCTAAAATCTGTAAATAACACACCATCCCTTACTCTCTCAGGTGTGCAGACTGAGTTTGCACTAACAGTGTGAAACCAGGGTGTGTACTTAGAACACTAACTATGGAAAATCACATAAACATGCTTTGCAAGGCGATTTTTCTAGAGCTGCGCAGAATTAGTCATATCAGACCTTTCTTAACGTTCGATGCATCAAAGAAGCTGATGTCTGCATTCGTGCTATCACGCATGGACTACTGCAATGCTCTCATGGTGGGTCTTCCAGCTATGCTCCTGGATAAAATTAAAAAAGCACAGAATAATGCGGCTCGCATTGTTCTTCGCAAAGGCAAATTCGACCATGCTAAAACACTTCTGAAGGAGCGGCATTGGCTGCCCGTCCATGCACGCATAGAGTACAAAATTCCAACTCTGTGCTACCGCTGCTTGCATGACCTGGTGCTGTCCTATCTCAAAGCACTCATGACGCCTTATGTCAACTAGACAACTCCCCTATCTGATAGTGGGAAACACTCGATACCGCGTGTTCGCCATGAGACTTACAAAAGGCGCACTTTCGCATTTGCTGGCCCATCAATTTAGAACACCCTTCCTGTCGCTCTCAGAAACAGCCAGACACTGAAATCCTTCAAAACCGATTTGAAAACACATCTGTTTCGCAAACACCTGCTGGCGTGATGTTGTCTACCATCTTTTCCAGCTAGCTGTTATCTCCTAGATGTGTATTGGCATGTGTTGTTTATGGTTGCAAGGGATGAAATACTTTCAAAGGGTATGCTTGTTTGTAGTTTTTGTAGTGTTGCGCTTTGTGTTTCAATGTGGTAAAAAATAGATTGTTTCATCTCTCTTTTAATATGGTTGACTTTGTACCACGCTTCGAGTCTTTGGGGATGAAGCATGATTTTTTTGATATATATAACCAAATGTCATCCAAATCTGTACATACAGTAGAAACCGCTTATCCCAACCTCGGTTAACTTGCCAACCGTGTTTTGAAGTGGAACCCCCAAATTCTCTCTTTCTCTTAGCATTTTCTCCTCGGTTATCTCGATTCTTTTATGTCGCCGAACTCTGATATCACGAGCACAAAAGACGGCCATATTTGCCACTTAACCTCGGCTATCTTGATCCCCATGACCAATTGCCGGCTTTTGAACTCCACTAGAAAAAATAGCAAACAACAAAAAAACAAGTTTTATATAATTAAAAATAATTATTTATTTATAAAAATACAGGACTTGTGTTTTAGAATGAACCTAGAAGTAATTTAAATAATAAGCCATGGTCTATTTCAGAGTTTCATTCATAAGAGTTTGCCGTGTGCAAAAGCTATTAAACCATTGGTCAGGGAAAGGTTTAATTAAATAGTCATGTGCCAAAGTTGAAAGTTCAAAATAAGTAGTCCCTAAATAGTATTTTAGCAATAAGGGGATACGTTGTGCGATATAAACCATATAGTCATTGCGCAAGACACGATCAGCAGAATGAGGTCACAAAATGTTGAGGCTTCTTCCATAGTAGAAAATACCAAACGAACTCGCACTTTAAAAATTTGTAGCTCGTAGCTCAAAAAGTACTCAAGTTAAAAAGTTTCATTTTCTGGTTTCATTTTTTAAATTTGCTCTTAATAACTCTAATATTTTTTTTTCAATATATATATTTTTTTACTGAAGTATCTGCATTTATAAACACACAGCATGTGAAATTTCAAGCACATCATACATATTAATATATTGCCGCCATATTGGTTTTCGGTTATCTCAATCATCGGTTATCTCTACGCTTTTTGGAAAACCCTGAGGACGTCGACATAACCGGGTTCTACTGTAGTATAATTAATAATAATTTTAAATATATATAATTTTTTTAAAATGATTTTTTGGAAAGAAAGAATAAGAAATATCTGTTAAACTTTCATTGCATATTCATATAAAATAATAAAAAAAACTATATAATACGAACTATAACAATACTTAACAATAAGTAGATACATAGTAATAAATGTAACTAAGAAATTTCACACCAATAACTTAATTAACTCCTTTACTTAATTTACTGCTTTTCTTTTATTAATAACTATTGTTTTACTTGGCCATGACGGCCATGTCTTTCCCATGTTAATTCACTTAATAGTAGTCCTTTATTACTCTATAATTATAATGGATTATTAAAAAAAAGTGTATGACTTATTTATTTTCTAAATATCAAAGTTTTATCGTTTAAAAAATCAAGTAAAATATACATTCACAGATCTTAAATAAGGAAATTAATAAATTATTCAAACCATTATTCAAATACTAATATGTCATTATTCATTATTATTATTGTCATTCAACGCATTTCTTCTGTAGTATAGAATGAATGTGGAGGCTTCTTCCATAGTAGAAAATACCAAATGATGAAACAGATGAAACTTATGCCTATCTATGATTCTATTCTATGATGCATAACCATAAGTATTTCCCATCCCATCATTATAAAATAATAATAATAAACAAAATATATTTAGCCTATTTAACTATTACTATCACATTGTCTATTGGCCATCATTTGTAAACTCTTTACTGAACTAACTCTATAAAAATTGCATTTTTAATCATAGATCTTTCCCCACATCACAAACTCCAAAGTCAGAAATCTAAAAATAATAAATTTTTTGTTTATTAATATTATAATATGCTCTTGAAGTTTATAACGCTGATGGCTAGAAATTGAAAAAAAAATTATTTTCAATTTTAGGCTACTATAACAAAAATAAGAAAGGAAAGTATAAATATAGACTATAGAAGAAGAAGAATCGGCTCACATCAACTGCACTATATCAGTAAAGCAAAAATGATTCTTTTAATTTAAATGCAACAATTTCTTATAATTATAATCATGTCTTAAAAGTTAAAGTAGCTACAACACTTACCATGGACCATCATTGCCATTATTTTTTGTTTGTTGCATAGTTTTCTCCGAGTCTCTGGTGATTTTAATTTGACTAGTGAGAGAATTTAAATAATATTGTGAAATTAAAACTTTTCAGACCCTGCTGAGCTCAGCAAGATTTTAGTTCTAAAGACTAAAGGTAAAAAAGTAATAAGGACAGTCAGGCGTTCAATTTATTTGCTGTGGTAAACTCAAGCGGACGTTCGATTTATTTGTTGTGGTAAACTCAAGCTAACTTTAATTAACTTATCTACTTATTAGCACTTTGCATCTATAGATACCCGGGTACCTATGGTCGCCAATGACAATTCGCACCCGGAGTGGCTCCGTACATATTAAATGGCTTCGGGGCCGAATGTGATAACAATAATAGTATGAGAATTATTTTTTGAAATTGTTTTTTCTCCTTGTTTATTTGATTGATTCATAGTTTTATTATTTTTAGTTGTTTTTTTTATTTTTGCTTTGTTAATTTCTCTTAGTATCGGTAGATTTTTTTTTCTTTCTTATTTTCTTTTTTTAGTTTAAGCCATTTTCAAGAGATCAATTATTTTTTTTTTTAAATCTAGTAAAGATCAATACTCGGAGGTCGAGAGTCTATCTCTTAGGACCTTGGCCGTGAAACATAGCCTAGTAGTCCCTGGGGACTCCGGCCATGCAACTCGGCCTTGAGCAAAATAGGTGTTGGAACAGCTTTACTTCCTCTCCGGAGGTGACGTTGCGTTGCCACCTCCACCGCTCAGGAGCTGTACGTTTTCCCTTAGTGTGGGACGGCTTTGCTTCCACTCCGGGGATGGCGTTGCGTTGCCACCTCCACCGCCCGGGAGCTGTACGTTTTCCTTGGTGTGGGACGGCTTTGCTTCCACTCCGGGAGAAGTTGCCAAGAGTTGTGCGAGCAAGTTTGGTTCCCAACGATTTGTTTCCCCCCGGGGAGGCGTTTCGTTGCCTCAAACCCGCGTTTCTCCGGGAGCTGTTCGGACCGGACAGAACGGCTTTAACTTCCTCTCTGGGGGAGGCGTTGCGTTACCTCGACCCACCGTTCTGAGAGTTGTTCGAACTGGACATGGCGGGACGAAACGGTTGCCTAGGGCCGGCTTTCTCAGGGCCGCGTCTTTTTAATCACTGGCAAGGGTTAAACCCACTGCCTCATACCCATTACCGGCAATACGTAATCATGTTAGCGCTTAACTTCCGTTGCGTTAGAAATCATGCGTTTTGCAAAAGAGTAAGGGGGTTTGAGCAAAATATCTTCCTCCCAGTGGAGGGGGGCTTTGCATTACCCCCCCCCCTAGCTCAGTGGGTCTTCCGATTTGGGACGTGTGAATTTTGGCTTCTGGGAGCACGCCCATACTAGTCTTCCGCGCCGCGAAGAGGCAGATCACGTGCGACATTGCCTCGAGCATGGCAATGTGACTTTCCCTTGATCCAGCAAGCTGTCTCGAGGGAAAAGTCGAAGTTAAAAATCTAGTAATGAAGATGATTTAGATACATTTATTGTTTTTATTTGAATTTTAGAAAAGTAATAATATTAATTTAATTATTAAAATTAAATCATTTATTTAAGATTATTTATGTGTATTGTTTAAGTTAAAAGATTTAATCACACAGTACTTTATGAATTAATTAAGTATTCTAAATAATGAAAATTTCATTCATAATGAATTTATTTCAACTATTCCTCTAGAGAGCTTGGCTTAGTCAGAACAAAACCACCAATTTTAAACCTTTTCATTGGCACTGGGAGTCATACATGCGGACACTGACTGTTTTTCCTGATATCTTGAATCTCCTTTCAACAACCTTTCTCATTTGACTTGACCTAATTCACAAGGTAGTTGCAATGAACATCTTAAAGTTAAAGGATGCCATTGTATAAAGTATGAGAAAGAGACTTATTTTTGGAGGACCAGTATTTTTTTTTTTTTACCATATCTGTCTCCTGGGTCTAACACACTGGTACATAATTTAATAGAAAAAAAACCCTTAACTGACTTGCAAACATTTTTGTTTGGTTGTTAGTTATTTGAGTTGTGTACTCAAGTAATCCATAAAATAAATTAGGGGCCAGTATGGAGTAGGCAGCCATTAAACTCATTCAATTAGGTCACATCATTCCTTTGCCATTTGTCTCCTTTTACTTTCTCACCTTCCTTGTTGGTACCCGTACAGTTAACTATTGTTTGTACGGTATCATTTCTTCATTTAAGTACAGACGTAATGATTGAGTGGGAGCAAATATATGTGATCTGTGAAGGGAGTTTGGTTTCAAGGCAACTAAGTCATGCCACATTGAAAATAAAATACTGATAACCTAAATAAATAGAGCCATTGAAAAAAATACAGTACATACAAACCATACACAAACAGAAAGACAAAAATCCACTAAATTTAAAAAAAAATTGTTGTGACTTTTATTGCAAAAAATTAAACATTTAATACCAATTTTGACTTTACGCAAAATGATTAAAAACAAATTTGTATTGCATTGTATTGTAAATTATTGTACTGTATTGTAAATGAAACTTGGCATACATATTAAGAATAACATTGACAAAAAGTTTAAAGAAGATTATTACACAGCAGTTATTGGAATTGTTACAAATGGCATGTATGTGGGGGTCACATAAATATTTGAGAACTCTTCAGGGGTAGCAAATGTAAAAATGTTATAAAACTTTCTAGTTGGATATATATTTATATATAAAAAAAAAAAAACTCTTGAATTTCGTAAAGAATATCAATGAAAAGAAGCATGCAATGTTTGAAGGCTGTAGCTAGAATACTTTTCCTCCCAATTCATTTGGCGTTCCTTAAAAATCCGGAAAATGCAAAATTGAGAAAAATGAAAAAAATATAAAATAAAATTGTGTTTTTTTAAATTAGAGGCTGCATGAACGATATAGGATGCATACACCATGTACATATATCCTTCATGATTTAAAAAACAATTAGAAAATTAAGACAGAAAAGATAGGAAAAAAAATTAACACACGAACCTAATAAATAAAATACATAAATACAAACATTCTCTGAAAACTTTTCCTATGAGATATTTGTTTAAAAACAATCCATCATAAAGTAAAGAATCTCAATTTAAATAAGCATGCAAAGTTTCAATTATGTAGTTCCAAAACTATTCCTCCTGATTCATCAATTGATGTCAGAAAAAAATATAATTAAAATGCTATATCTATAAAAGCTGAAAAAGACACTGAAACAACATTGATGCATACATCATGAACACATCCCAAAAAATTATTGTTAGGTTGTAAGACAAAATTTGGTATCAAATGAAAGATAATTGAATGGACTATATGTTTGTTAACTTAATTCTTCAGTTTAACTAAAGGAACATTAACTAAAATAAATTACCACAAATGACATCCGAATAGCATTGGTCTATTGGACCCGGGTTTGAATAGCGACAGCCATTTATTTACAAACATTCACATATTTATTTTATACAAGTAGTGGAAAATTGTTGGGGCAGCTATCTTTTTCTTTTCAGGGTAAAATTTTGCTTTACCTTCGGTCGCCCCTTTGGGCGAACTCTGTCAAAGTTAAGCTTCCCAAAGGAATTAATACTATTTTCAGTTTCAATTTTTTCTAAATTATTTGCAGCAACTGTTTCCTCGTGGGAAAAATGAATGTCATTTATATCAACAAAATCAATTAGTTGACTTTGAATGAAACTTGTTTGTGGTTCACCTTCATCAAGTTGTGACCCCGATTCATTTTCATCTAAATTTTCAGGACTTTTCCAGAGACTTATAGTAGTTTCAAGAAAGGATATTTTCTCTACAAAATCTTGTTCTCCTTGCATCGCCAAAAAATTTGCCAAGCCCATACAAATTCTTTTAGCATGATTAAACCGACCCTCTTGAGTCTTAAAATTATTGTTTCTAGTAGATACAATTTGAGAAGTTACTGAACCACTAGAAGTAGAAGCAACCACTCTAGGAACACTATGTTTGCTAAAACGGCATGGAATTAACTCTGAACAAAATTCTGGAAGCTGTAAATGTCTTCGAACTGAAAAAATATGTCTGCAAGGTAATGCCATCTTTTTAGCAAATGAACAATTACATTGAACTGATGTTGATCTAAAAATATGTTCCTTATAAGCTACTGAAAAAAGTTCTGCCTCTCCAGGGACAACAGAGTACGGAACAGATCGTGACAATTTGAGCTGATTGAGCAATAGAGCAGCAGCAAAGGAAGTAGCAACACTTTCAATCTTATTTACACTTTCATCATTATCAGATGACGTATACTGAGCTGTGTTTGCAGCAAGCAATCTTAAACGATCACATACTGTAATTTTGCAGTTGTCAAAAGACATAAGGTTACGAAGAGCAGATGAAAAAGAAAGATAATGAGTCAAACTCTTTTTTATTTTGGCATGATAAGACTCCAAGTGATTTGTTGTTGTCGCATGGAGTCTTAAAACATCAGCATTGGATGATGCTGCCCATAAATGGGCCTTACTCCACCAGTTCGACTCAAAATACTCCAAAGCTACATCAGGAAGAGTATCTTTCATGTCTTGCATCAACTTTAAAAATTCATCACACGACTCGGTATAAACTTGAGACATAAATCCTTCAAGAATTGGCTTAACATGCTCAGGACCTACATGTTTCGAAAGAAACCTGTGCACAGCCTGGTTAATGTGAAAATGACATAGATTAACAGGTACATTTGGAAAGAGATCATTTATAGCAGAGATTTCAGCCATGTCTTTGTCAACCACAAAGCACTTGAAAAGACTGGCATCAGAATTCTTCAGAAGAAGCTGCAAACAAAGAGAAATAGATTCCTTATCTTCATTTTTTACAAAACCATGAAGAACAGGAATGCCCCTGCCCTCTCCATCAATAACCATTACAGTCAAAAGTGGATATAAATATTTATTGGTTTTATATGTGAAATCCATTAATAAAACCTCTGGATATTGGGCAATAATTCTAATCATATCATCAGTCAAGTATGATAAATACTTAAATTCCCCACTTTCTGTTAGTCCATAGGACACACTTCCACCAGCTTGTGATATAGAATGAAGTATAGATTGAGTTTCAGTTGCATCAGAAGATGATTTATTTATTCTTGACTTAATATTGTAAATGTCCCTGGGAAGCAAATCCACATCATGCTGTTGTTCAAGCACTTGCCGGGCCTCAGATGCCTGAATCGTGGTGCAGGACATCAACAGAAGCGTTGCCGCATTTAGTTCCACCTTGCGGTTTTCCGGATACAAACGGCACATCTGGAAAAAAAATACACAAAGGTTACTTTGCAATAATAAGTA